ATAGGATAACGGTAATAGGACAACAGATCCTGAGGCGATAATAAACTGAACCTGTGCCTTCCAGTGAAACTATAACCAACTCCCCAGATATTTCCATGTAGTGTTCCTATACCATAGAAGGAAAGGGGCCCTTCTTTATAAATAATCCCTAAAAAAAAACCCCTAAAAATATCCTTTCCCCTTCTCTCTTCATAGGTTGGACCAGGGCTTTCTCATACTTGTGGCCAGTCCTATCTTTTTCTGTATGCATGGTGGTCTCTTAGGGCTTATAATATTAGATATCTCCCTGCAACCCTTTCCCTACTCATTCAGAGAAGAGTTGTCTAAATTGTCAAGGCAAAAGTTCTCTCTTTAGCTAAGAGGGTACAGGGTTCTGCAAGCTGTTCCCTGAGGCCTTCTTTAGAGAATATCTGGGGCACTTTATAAGCAGCAACTCTCAGACTGTGTAGACAGGGGTTCGGGGTCCCCTGGGAAGCCTGAGGAGCAGCCCTGGAGGCGATCAAGGGCTCCAGGCTCTCGGTTTCCCCAGAGTAGCTGTTTCTATTCAATTCATACATTAGGGTCTTGCCTAAGGTTCCACTTGGTACTAAATATAAAACAAAAACAATGAAAACCAGTACAATAAATGGTTCTCTCTCCCTTAGGCTGTCTTCCTCCCCCTGACCAGGCTGCTCCCACAGTGGGGGTTTATGCACTCATGTTCCTTGCAAGAAGCTTACCCTTTAGCCACGGCCAGAATGTGAAACACAAATGAATTGCAACAATTATTTACACTTATTTCTAACATCCAAAAAATAGTCCCAACATTGGCATAGTAAATGCTGTCAGAGTTAAGATGTTTCCTCAAGTACGTCCTAAAGCAGCCTTAGCCTACCCACCTCCAACTGCCGTATTCCGTCCAGAGCAAGGCTGCCATATGCCTGACATGTACTCTTCATGGACCTTTTTCTTACAAGCAAAGAGAAGAATGAAGTTGCTTCTCTCCTTTTACCTCTCTGCACTAATCCAAAATCGAAACTGGCATTTTGGTTGGTATTCTGGAATAATTATTAAAAATTTGTCATAGCCATCAAAAAATGGTAGCTTCAGTGAGTATGTAAGTATCTGACAACTGGAATGAATTGGAATTTTACTGAAAATTTGTTAATTCACATCGGTAAAATAAGTTGTTCATGGTAGTATACTGATCATTTTTTTCTAATTCAAAAATCAAAAGGAAAATAACAGAAATGCCAAAGATTTGAAGTGAAGTAATTGTACTCCTAAAAAGTCCCTTTAGAAATGAAGTGTTCTAGAGCCAGGGATTTAGCTCAGTGGTTTCGCTGCCTGTTGTGCAAGTGCAAGGACCTGAGTTCAATCCCCAGTACCCAAAAAAAAAAAAAAAAAAGGAAATTAAGTGTTCTAAGCAAACTATGTGACAGACAATGGAGAATGCAGGTAGACTCTAGAAACCAACAAATCCCATTCATTTCCTTCAGTTTGTAAAAACAAGCAACTGACATGTTTCCTGCCAATGAGCATACTTGCAGATAAGAAAGCTCCCTACAGGAAATCCTTTCCTAAGAGGCCAGTTGTGCTATTAAACTTTACTTTCTTTACCACGTCCTTAGTAGTTAAATATTCAATAACATGGGATCATGAAATAGACGCTGAAACACCTAATGATGCTACGTTGGTTCTAAGCTCTGTATTTCCTATGACAGTTAACAAACACTAAAATAGATTTAGGAATCTTTCTACCTCCCTCCTTTTCGCTCCCTCCCCCCCAGGCAATTAGTTGAAGAAAACAGGGAAATTTGATGCTTTTTTAAAAGATCAAACTGTTGACTAAGTTTTAAAACTGATCATCTTCAATTAAGATGAAGCAATGCAATGCCACAAGTTACAATAATCAAAAAGAAGATATTTCTAAATGAAAATTAAGAATTTAACATTTGAAGACTGCTATTAACAAGATTAGAAAAATGCATTTGCTTTGTATTTACAAGATTTAATAAAGATTCTCAAAGACAAAATTTAGGAGAGGGTCTCCTTGGTTATTTCTCAGTGAAATGAGTTACTTTTTTTTTTTTTGGTACCAGGGATCGAACTCGGGACCTTGAGCTTGTGAGGCAGGCGCCAGAACCACTGAGCTAAATCCCCGGTACTCTCAGTGAAATGAATAGGGCAGCAAGGAGATTTGAGGGTAGTCTCTAAACTTTTCTCCTTTCAGTATACTCCTTTTTCTTTCTTTTTTTTTGTACCGGGGATCAAACTCCGGATCTTGCGCTTGCGAGGCAGGTGCTCCTTACTATCACCAAGGTAGCGGTAATATTTGCAGCTTTGGTTTTGGAAACCGCTAAATTATCCTAAAACTAAAAACACTCTTCTCCACCCACAAAAGAAAATTTTCTAAATCAACTGAATAATAATATTTGCAGTTTGGAAACATGTTTATTTAGAAGTTGGTTCCTCTCCCTGCTCAGCTATGCAGAATACCCTCCCTTATTCTTTCCAAAGCACCAGACAGTCTTAATTTTTTCCCCTTGCACATGCAGCTTTAGAGCAGGGTCCAAAACACCACAACTCTTTAAGCTCAATTGCTTCAGTTCAACTTTGAACTCTCCTGAAAACACAGTCACTCATTACACTTTCCCCAGATGACTCTTCATCCACAGGTAACAGGCTAGTCTTTAAGGCTCTGTAAAGTCTTTTGTTCTAACAGTAGATGTACAGATCACTTGGATTTCACAATGAAGTGCTGAAATACACTCTTCTCAGCCTTCCCCTTGCACAACTCCAAGGTAGCAAAATGCTAAGTAAGCACAAATACTCATCTTGGCTTTCAAGCTTTTTTTTTTTTTTCCTGAAATATTTTCAATAAAAATACAGTTAGGAAATCCAGGAGACTGCATTTTTGGTTGTTGTTGTAAAATGACCTTGATTTGACAGGCACGATCTCAGGTTTCAACAGATGTTGTGGGAAAAGCTTACAGAAGCCAGCGTGTTCTCTAGGCATCTGTGATGACATGCAGGGTTTTTTTTAAGTGGTGGTCATGGTGGTGTGTGTATGTATGTGTAGTGGGGGTGGGGTGGGGTTACTCAGTTTCTATGACGACCATGTCTCCACTCAGGGGTTATTAGATACCATCCACTTCCTGTGTCTAAATTTTAAACCAATCAGAAAAGTGTTTATACGTTTAACAACTTCTGGACAGTGCTTCTTCAATGAAACAGCTTAAGGCTCAAATGAAGATGTCTTGGGGTCTTATATTTTTGTCTTATGGACAAAACATTTCACAGTGTTTGCTAATTCATAGATTAAATGATGAGGAATGCCCTTTTGGGGCCCTTTTGCTTGGGCATGAAATGTATTCTTCTCAAAACAGATGCCAGAATTTATCACAGTGTGCAATCTGATTTTGATAGTTTGTTCTTCATTGTCTTTTTCTTTCAGTGTTGCAAGACTTAGATTTAGTGCCTGAAACATGCTAATGCACAAGGCACTTAAATTATCAAAGTAATGACACAGTTAAGCATCCATCTGCTGATGTTGCTATTCAAATATTCAGATTTAAAAAAAAAAACAGGAAAAAATAATTCTAAGTTGAACAACTTTGCATTCTACAACTTATGAATAGAAATCATTGAGGCTATTGTAAAGTAATACATCTATGAATGTACGCTAGTCACTGACATCTGCAAAGAAATTTGTCACCAAAATGGCCTACTTTATCTGCATGGAAACAACAACAAAATTTAAACATATAGGCATCTTGAGCAAAGTGCACTAGGATTAAGAAAGCAATCTGGCAGAAATCCGTGCACAAGAAGGCTCGTCTGGAATTATGGCTTGGTTTTCTAAAAAGGTTTTGGGTGACTGTTTTCCTAAGTCTCCGTCTAACTGACCAATCAGGGAGAGAGTTAGAGGCGGCTCCAGACATTTGTGCAGTCTTCTGAGCTCTGCACTCTGAGCTGCTTGCTCTCCAAGGCAGAGCTGGTGATCAATGAAAAACAGGGAACAAAAGGAATGTAACAGGATGTCTTCCTTAGCTGAAGAAAGGGATTCCCTTTTTCCTCAATGAGCCGCTTTCACCCAGCCTACCCAGCTCCACACGAAACCTCCACCACGCCAGTCCTTTCAGACGAGGCACATTTTGCATTTGCAGTCATGTGTCCCAACTGTTACCAAATGTGTCACCTTAAGCACAGCCTGCCAATTGAAACTAATAAATTAAATAAATTAATAACCCCGCAATTAAAAGCTCCCGAGAAAGACCGCGTTTCCCTTTCCCAAATGTCATTCCCAGAATATAAACAAAACATGAAATATAGTCTCTTCAGCCTCCTCAGCTGGTAATCATGGTTTTTCTCCTCAAAACAATGTTCCTCCAAAAAGAGAAATATTCTTCCTGCCCTCAACGGAAACTCTCATCTGTTTATGTCACAGCAGGAGAAGCAGTTACAGTATTTGCAAAGAGGTTTAAACTGCCCAGAGATTTGACACTGTTTATAATTGATTGCAAAACAGTCGCAACAACAATGCTGTAAACTCTGCCCCAGCCAAACTCCACATTTAACATGTTAGTTCTTGAAAAATCAAAGTGCCGCCTGCGGAACCCCACCAAAGTGGGCTTCCCTTAGAAGTAATTAAAAGAATTACATCAATTATTTGGGAATTTTAAAAATAAATATCCATTTGTCTGCAATGTTTTTAAAAATATATTTTAAAAAGGACTCTCTGCAAATTCCAGAGAAACTTTTTTTTTTTTAATGAACTTACTTCGGAGACAAAACTAATGAAAATAAGCAACTTGCCATCCCTGGATCTTTCCCATTTGGGGCTGCATGCTATAAATCAATCTGAAACTAGGTGGAAATATGGGGGCAGACACCTTCAAAAACAAAAATCCAAGGGTGCCCCGAATGCAGCAGCCTGCACGACGGGCGAGGGCTCCTCATGACAATGCTAAACACACGCAGGGGACCGGGAGGCAGGGAAGGAGCCCCGATTTCTTTACCTTCGATCGCCTGCCCCCCCGCTGCTCCTCGCGGCCGCATCGGGGGACCGCGGCGGCGCTGGACTCGCGGGTGGCCCCGCCGCCGGGTCGCGCCGTCCCCCGGCCGAGCTGCGCCGATCGCGGCCCGAGCCCGGCTCCAGCGCCCGGCGCCCGCCCGGGGTCGGCGGCGCGGCTCCCACCCGGCCCGGAGCCCTGCTGGGTCCTAGTGCGCGCCGCCGCCCGCCAGCCCCGCGGCCCGCTCTGCAGCCCGCACGCACGTACCGCAGGCAGCTCGGGAGCCCGGGGAAAGCCCGGGAGAAAACGAAAAGCCGTCGTCCCCTTTGCAAAAGGCGCCGCGGTTGGTGCGAGGGAACCGGAGCTCGGTGTCAGATCTTGGTGGAGGATGTTAGAAGAAAGACATCGGCTCCAACTGAACTCGCTGGTGTGAGATTCTGCAGCCCGGTGGCAGGGACGGGCGTGGAGCTTTGCCCCGAGCTCTGTGGTAGGGTACGGTCACGGAGGTGAGAGACGCTGCGGGATCAAGAAAGAGGGGTTTCAGAACGACAACGCCAAAAGAGGGAAAAGTTGAAAATTCATGTGTCTGAAACCATGTAACCCTGTTTTAAATAGCTTTGCAATATTTCCCCTCGTTAACAGGTCCTTTTCATTCTACCTCTCTTGCTTTATAATATGCTGTTTTAAATAACAAAACCCCATATGGCTAAGCACGTAGTCATTTGATTTTCAAAAGACCTCAGAAATTGCATCAAAATATGTACTCATGTATCTCCTAAGACATCAACAACAGAGAATTAATAGTGGCATATGGTGTGCCTCATAGAGAAAACTTAATTACAAATTAAAACAAATGCGAAAATTCACAAATTCCGTAAACTGAAAGTAAATTATGAGCCTAGATTGATACACGAATCACCTCGTGTACAATTGGGAAAGACTTAACTTCTAAATTTCTCTTTTACACTGGGGAAGGAGCGTTTTGTCTCGGGTACTCAAGTCAAAGCCTCTTGTTTTGCTCCTGAAAGGTCTTTCAGTAGCCCAAGGTTCAGCCATTTACCCCTGCCCACCTGGAGATCAGCTCTTCATCTTGCAAGCGCTCACGTAAGGAAACAATTCTATTAGCCCTTAATTCAAAATAATAGTGTTTTAATTTGAAGAACCTATTTGAAAAACTTGAGACTGGGAGTTTTCTTTCAGTCTTTGATATCACCAAGTCTGAAGGTCACAGTGTTGGAAAGCTGCTAATAACAATGGTGCTGTGGTGTACACCAAAAAGAAAATCAAATATGTGCTTTCTGGGTTCTATTTTTGGAGCAGGAAAAGTCCCTTTGAAAAATATTCTGGTCCTCAGCCTTTCCAATTATAGCTAAATAAATGCAGTGGAAGTTTTTTAAAGTATTAATTAAACATCAAAGACACTTTTTCTGCTGCCTAATGTTGTAATGTATTACACTCATCAATCTTCGAAGGACTCGAACATACGTCTCATGTGATCTTTACCACACCTCAGCCAGAAAACATCTTAGAATCCCCGCTTTTCTAGGGAGAAAATGGAGGTCCCACCGGGTAGAGGGACTTGTCCAAAATCACTCAGCGAGTGAGCAGTGACCTGGGTCCCCAACACCTCCAACAAGCCCCGCTTTTCCAAGCATACCATGTGGCCACACAATTATTTCTCGGCAAGCACTGTGAGGAATTGGCATCCAAAACAAAGCCACAGGTAGGTTTCTGCAGCCCTCCTTTCTTCTCTGTAGCAGAACAGAGATTTGCACGTGGAAAAACACGGCTAGTCGAGACTATCTTAGTCTCTGTTGATGGAGAAAACTGACCTGTGTTTCCCAAGGCGCCCTGGCAGATGGAAAATTTCAAACTCAAACTGAGCAGTGCCACAACCACCTACGCGTCCTTTTGTCCTCTCTGGGAGCCTAAGATGGGGCTCTACACACAGAGGGGGAGTGGAAATTGGTGATCTAGGTGCCCACTGAAGGGCTTCACAAACTCTGGAAAATTCAAAGAGTGAAGACAGAAGTGGCCTTTTAGCGATATCTAGGGTGTCCTCACCCATATCCGGGGACACCTAGGATCACTTCTCAGCCCCCTTGCACCCTGGGAAAGTCACCAGCCAGTTCTGTGTGTGGCAGTCCACTTCCTCCTCCCCTCTATCAAAAGGAAATGTAACTTTTCTTATAAGCTGTACCAATCCACTTGCATACCAGCCAGGTGAGGGGCTGGGTGACATTTCACTGAAAAGAAAGCAACATTTTTCTCTGAAAAGTGATTCATTCCTTTCTTTGTGCAGTTTATGAGGAAGAGGCTAGCCTTGGCAGGGTCGGGGGAAGATGTGTATGACCTTCCCAGGGAACTGCTTGGAAGGATTTGTGCAAAACTTACTTGATGAATTCATTTGATCCCTTTGTTGAAAACAGGTCTAATTGCTTTATAGTTATCCCATCCATGTGGCTTTCAAATGTTGCAAATGCTGGGCTGAAAGTTATCTTAGCACCAACAGGAGGTGATGAGATGCTGAAAAGAAACTTGGTGAGCAGTTCCTCAAAGCCAGAGCACACCAAACCTAGCATTCATTCATTTGTCCAATTGTGCTTCAAACACTGAGCAAAGGTGCTGTTCTGGATGATGGGTATAAAAAATAGTGCCCCCCAAGCACTCCTCGTTCGGTGGAGCAAAACAATTGCAGAGCTTTGTTGCGACTGCTGCAGTGAAATCACGTCACAGGTGCCCTGTGTTCAATGCCAACTGTCCCAGGCTTGGGCCAGTTGTCTTCCGAGTCGTCCTCAGCCCTGCCCTTTGCTTTGTTTTGCTCCCCACTGCCCCTGTAGCCTGTCTCATAAACTCCTGTGGAAGGAAAGTGGTGAGAAGGGACCGGCAGAGAACTTCACCTCCCTCTTGCTGCGGCAGCATCGCTGGCCAGGGCTGCTTCTGGTTGAGTCTTCTACTGGTGAAAAGTCCAGCCCCTGACTTGGCCAACACTGGCAGGTCCTGTGAGCTCTCCATCTTGGGGCTGGAATTAGTTTCTGGGTAACTTTCCTGAGATGGGTACAAGAATGAGAGGAAGGGCCCCACTGAAGGGGACGGACGCACTAGGCATGGAGGGATTCGAGAGGGAGACCTCTGCCTGCTGAACATGGAGTAGCGTGGCTGAAACGAATATTTCAACTGAGGTGCCATGGATCCTGCTGGGTGTGCAGAGAGGGGCCACAGCCACCAGGCTTTAGACTTGCTCATGATTTCCACATGGCAAATCCCTTTATCTCCCTTAAGGCTTTGCTCAAATGTCCCCTCCCCAATGTCTCTGGATCCTCCTGATCCTATGCTTTCATCCTTTGCTTTTACCACTTTCTAACACATGACTAATTTCATGGATGATTTTTGTTACTCATTGTCTATTCCATTCTCACAAGTAGATGTTCTACAGGGTCAGGAATCTTTGCTTTACGCAAAATATAGAAGTGCCTGGCATATAGTACGTGCTTAATAAATGTTTTTTTAAATGAATGTACAAAGTTAGCAAAGAAGAAGATATATATATATATATATATATATATATATATATATTCTCCAGAGAAACAGAACCTCTAGTATAAATGTACTGGGAGAGAGAGAGAGAGAGAGAAGAGAGAACGTTTTATTATAAAGATTTGACTCATGCAAACATGGAAGGTAAAAAGTCCCAAGATTTGCAGTAGACAAGCTGGGGACTCAGGAGAGCCAATAGTGTAAGTCCAGTGTGAAGATCATCAATAAGGCTCAAGACTCAGGAAGAGCTGATGTTTCAGTTCAAGTACAAAGGCAAGAAAAACTCAAGGCAGCCAGTTAGAAAGAGCTGTCTCTTCCTCAGGGCAGGGGTAGCCTTTTGGTCTATTCAAGCCTTCAACTTCTTAGGCAAGGCCCAGTCACCCACACAAGGGGAGACAATCTGCTTTCCTCAGTCTTTCAATTCAAAGTTAATTTCAGCCCCAAATACCCAAATAAATACCAAAACAATGCCTGACCAAATATGTGGCCACCCTTTGGCCTGGGACAGTCAACATAAAATTAATCTCACACCGTCGGAAAGAACCCTTTGGACTTTTGCAAGGATGATTTCAATCTGTCACAATTTAGATGGCAGAAGCCAGGGTGGGGCCGGGGATATAGCTCAGTGGCACTTCACCTGCCCGGCAAGCACAAGGTCCTGAGTTCAATCCCCAGTACCGAAAAAGAAAAATAAAGAAGAAGCTTCAATGATAACCTCTAGGAGGTTATCACTGTAGCTGTTCAAATGCAGACTTGCAGGGATTCATGGTAAGCAACTTCAGAGGACTTGCTCCAGCGGCCAGTGCCGAGACAGGCCTGCCTGCGGATGAGCAGTCACTAGCGTAAGGTCCAGAGAACAGACGGGCTGAGGATGGTAGGTCTGCCCATCCCAGGGAAAACAGTATCTCCAGGTGTCTTTAGCTGTTCATTCAGCATAGATACAAATGCAGGTGACTCCCTGGCTCTCCTTTTGGGGATTTACCTACCCACTCAATGGTGCTGGTATCGAGATAGAGCAGGCATTTTATACCATGTACCATGGCCACAGGTTTGGCCCCAGGGCAGGCACCTGCCCCACCCCCCACCCCCGTGTTGGCAATTAGAGCCCTTTGGAATTAATTCCCTCGCCAGCAAGGGAAGTGAGCCCTCTTCCAATCTGATTGCCAAATGATGGGGTGTTGCCAGCCACCACGTCCTCAGTTTACGGGCTCAGGAGATGGATAACAACCCAACTATTGCCCAAGCAGGAGGTAAAACATGATGAAAGCCTAATATAAACTTTAGATTATCCAAACAAACCTTTTTCCCCTCCATCACCATAAACAGTTTAGAATAGGCTGTATACATAGCCACCGTTTATATACACAGAGGTATACAAGAGAGCCTCCTGTGCTGGAGAGGACCCCTTAATGCTCTAACTTTTAGATCGAGGTAGTATCAGGTTGTACCGGAAGATCTTTCACTTGCTTCTTTTGTGTGCTTTGAGTTGCAATGGAATGCCACCCTCCTTTACCCTGTGAAGTCACAAGCCTTAACATAGTCCGTGAAACCGACAACTGGAGCCTTCCAC